GCAAGGATAATACTATAATACACACTACTACACAGGATTGCTTATCGGCCTCATTTGTGGAAATTGCGGCCATATGGTGTAACACTATTAACGACATAATCAACTACATCTTCAGCTGTTTGCGCGAACGGTCGTAGTTTAGAATATACATTTATGATGAAAAATGTTATCATGGGATCATAACTTGTGGTGAAAACACCCTACGTCAAGGCGAGAAACGACACGCTGCCTACGTAATCACTGGTTCTTTGGCGTGGTGGGGGCTTGAGATTTGATATATACACAGGCAGGCCTTATGATGATAAGATATCCTGTAATAGTAGTAGTAGTAGTTATGGCGAAAACCATTGGTGAAATTAGTGCAAAAAACATGTATTTCTGTCACTTTCTTTTACATGCTAGTAGAAGAGGACATGAATGCATTCAGTGCGCACTGGACTTACCAATGGATTTCACTATTAGTGTGAATTATCCTTGGTGCGAATGGTCCAAGGCGGCGCGAGAATCAGCGCCATTTTGTTTACTTGCCAGAGATGTTATTTATTGAAAAATTTGCCTTCGGCGCCATTACCACCAGATTGTTTACCAACGTTTACCTATAATTTAAGGGAGGGGGGGGGGGCAAGTAGTGTATGCCCTATGTTAAATTTGTCATGCCCTATCACATTTGACTCTAGCTACGGCCCTAAACACACCCCGCGAAGAAAACACAACAATGTAGAAAATTAAGATAGTCAACAATCAACTTTGGATAACCTCGGAATATAAAGAAAAGGTTAGACAATGAAACAAACTATATGTCAGATGGAAACAAAGCCCGCATGATTATACGGAAAAGAAACTTTAAAAGAGAAAAAAACTATGTCAGCAACTTGGGGAAATGGTTCAAGAAACAATATGCACAAAGAAAATTCGAGAATGCCGGAAGTGATATCAAGAGAACATGGAGAGTAATACATGAACTATCCTCGCGAGACGGCAAAAAAAGACAGAACAATATAAGCCAAATCAAAAGCACAAACGGAAATATAATAGAAAACGACAAGGAAATAGTGGTGGAAATTAACCGTCATTTCTCTTAAGTAGGAGTAAAATTATCCAATGAAGTCCCACTAACAAACTACGAATTTGCGGATGAAGAAGTCAAAGTACCGTTTACCTAGAACTAACCATTCTTACCGAAATAAGTCAAATAATAACCCAAATAAAAAATAATGCATCACCAGGAAGAGATAACATCTCAAAGCAGGACATACTAGACTTATTCAACATTATTGGGGACAAAATAGTTTCACTAGTGAACAACATTTTAGAAACCGGAGTTTTTCCTGAAGAACTGAAAATTGCTAGAATCATACTAATATACAAAGGCCTAGAACACAACGACCTGAACAATTACCCACCTATATCGATAATAAATACTTTGTCAAAAATTGCAGAAAACACTTTGAAGACCAGCCTATTGAAGTTTATTGATAACAAGTTCAAGCTTGACAATTTTCAGTACGCCTTCCAGAAACAGAGTAGAGTACATCGATATGTTCCAAAAAGTCCACTGACAGTCGTATATGTTGATCTAAAGAAGACTTTTGATACTGTGAACATTATTCTGCTGCTGGATAACCTATGGAAAATGGGAATAAGGGGAGTAGCACAGAACTTGCTAAAATCATACTCAAAGGGCAGACTACATTACACCACTGCAAATGGATGCATAAGTAAGATCTTGGTCATTAATGTGGGTGTGCCCCAGAAGCAAAATTCAAAGGAGGAAGACTTTGAGCTTTTCTTTTGAATTAAGTTTCAAGTCCACTTTGAGTTATGGACTATTTATTCAATTTCAAATTCAAAGAGTCCAAAATAAGGCAGTTAAAGCATTATACTTGATTGATTTTTATGCCCCTACAGAAGATGTAGGGTATACAGGGTTTAAATGGAATAAATTAATTATCAGAAAGCCTATTTATTTTCAGGGAAAATAAAAAAAAACGGGTCTGTTTATTTTTAGTTTGGCACATTTTTTCGGCCTTTTCATGGAATTTACCCCTCTCTTAAGGGTAGAAACAACCCCCAACTTTTTTTTTTCAAATGTAAAGATATGTATTGTGATAGCTCGTTGGAATGGGCATAAAAAAAGGATAATGTTCCATTATTTACTTTTGCATTTCGATGCGAGAAAAAAATTAAAACATATTTTTCCATACAATTTTTTTACAGTTAAAATTGTTGAATATCTTCAGCTTTTCTTCTTGGTAGAACCCTAATGCGAGACAAGCTCCATTTGTAATAATTATTTCTAACGTTAACACACTATTTGATGCCTGATACTCGGATTCTCAACCCTAAAATAGTGTGGTAATGTCAAAAATAATTACATAACTAAATCAACGAAATGCAAAAGTAAATAATGGGTCATATTCCTTTTTTTATGCCTATTCCAACGAGCTATCACAAAACATATCTTCACATTTGGAAAAAAAAAAAAAGTTGGGGGTGGTTTCTACCCTTAAGAGACGGGTAAATTCCATGAAAAGGCCGAAAAAATGTGCCATACTAAAAATAAACAGACCCGTTTTTTTTTATTTTTCAGGCTTTCTGATAATGAATTTATTCCATTTAAAAATTCCACCCTGTATAAAAAAACCAAGATTTTAAACATAAATAGTTTGAAAATATTGGAACAAGTTATTCATAGCATAAAAACGAACAATATCAAAACGAATACTAAACTGAAACAAGTACATGACATCCATAGTCATAACATAAGAATGAAGGGGGACTTAAGAAACCAATATGCGAGGACAAGAAAAGCTCAAGAGTCCTATATACAGAAGCATCGAAGCATATAATAAAGGAAGTGTTATAAATGCCAAGAAAACCCATTTATTTACAACCTTAACTTAAATACTTTATATTTCCTTATTACAATGTTAATGTATAGCTATACCTAACTCAGAATTAATATTCCTGATATGTATAAACTTCTTTCGTAGGTCCTGTTACCAGTATCAATACTGTTTTGGGGTCATAAATAAATAAAGAAAAATAGGTTTTCATATCTTTTATGTATCTTTTGAGCAATCTTATTTGGGGTACCCTGGCCGGGACATTATGCAGATAATTATTATATTCCACAAATTCCTCAAAATCTTCCATTTCGAGCAGCAAAACACGTAAATAAATAAACATAGACGTTTTTAAAATCGATGAGAAAGGTAGACGTAACCATAACGGACCCAGAATTGGTACAGGCCGATTCATATAATCTGCCCGAAGTAGCATGCGAAATGATAGATATATATTACAAAGAAATTGCTGAGTATTTTATTGCTGGGGTGCGGAACATAAAAGTTCAGAGGTATAGTATCCCATGTATTACTTTTGTATATCTACCTAATGGTTTTGGTTATTCTGTGTTAAATAACTACTCGAGAATCTTACGGAGACGTTGCTTTAGGGTATGTCTAGTGGAAAAGGGATCATCCCCAGTTCATTGTAAAAGCTCGTATCACGCCAGAACAAAAATAACAGCATTTCTGGATAAAATTGTCCAGCTACTATTAGAGCAAAACTCAGTTGTGTCCATTGGCAACTGTTTTCGGACCATCCCCACATGGTACTGAAATTTCAAGCTACCGCTTTTATGATCAATGCAGATCATTTTCTACAATTTGCCAAAACAGTTTCAACGCCCAAAATATGCAAAAAAATTTGTCAAAGAACTAAAACGCAGTTTGAATGCCCATGCATATGATGGAACAACATTAAAGGCAGTACTTGGTACGCGCAAATTCACCCCTAGTAAAGCCATGAGATAGGGCTTAACATTAGGAAAACAAGTATACTACAAGTACTTTGTAAAGAAAAGATGTGGATTCACAATCAAACCAGAAGTGCCCATATTTGGTACTTCACCTGACGCAATTACGAAGCACCATTGCATTGAAATCAAGTGCCCTTCAAGAGTTGATAAAACAGAAAACTATTACAAGAATAGAACAATAACAGAAAAGTGTTATACTCAGGTGCAATTGCAAATGAGCAGGATAAACAAATTACTACTATTGTAGTAGCGTTGGCTAAGGCTTATTGCAGCCAGATGATCGCTGATGCGCTCCAATTTTGAAAAGCAGGGTGTTTGCAATAATAAATTTTTAGTTACTAGTTACTTTACATTTATTTAATAAAAGTCTAAGTTTAGTCAATAATATTTTATAATTACACCCTGTAGATTACTTATGGCAGAACATATTATCCCAATGTTATCTAAATGAGCTACTAATGGAGGTGGCGTACATGCATGAGGGGTCAACATGCATTGCTTTTCCTCCAGTACCGCGGCAACCTCTTTGAATCCTCTATCGGCTAGAACTTCACAGTGTGGTGATAGCTGAGACAAGTAGCCAGACTGGAGATTAATTATTTCCTTGTCCGATGTATGTCCCCCAAATCCATGGGATACAAAATGTATTAGACCACTTTGTGTTGAGGAAATTAGGTATTTCACTGTATTTCCGCTTTTAAAATCGGTCCATGTTAGAGCTGGCGCTAAGGCGTTTGACGGTTGCAGTCGATGAGTGATTGCACATCTCTGTAGGTCCCCCAAAATTGTATTAACAAAGTTTCCTTGATTTTTTGCGCTGTTGGTCATAGTATTAATTCCTGCAGGTAACCAGCCAGCCAGTAAAGGCAAACATTTAGCAAATATTTTTGCAGGATAGCTGTCGCTATATCCAAACTCAATGGCCAGCTGTCTAAATGTATCGTTTGTACGTATTTTCTTTAACGTTAGCAGAATATCTTCTTCTGTTAGTCCATCTCAATACTCAATAATTTAATTATACCAAAACTGTCTCGAGGAATGCGCGCATATAGATGTGGGTACTTTTCCATTTCAGCCACCATGTGTGCAGTATATCACTTGTATACTACCCCATTTGTTTTATTTATTTGTCGGGTTTGAAATATGAATAAATTGTTTTTTTTTTTTTCTTTTCTAGGTGGTGGAGAGAGCAGTAAAAAAGGCGAAACGAATAAGAAACTCTCTGACCTGGAAACTAAACTTGCAAATCTGAAATTAGTAGCAGCCGATGAAAATAAAAAAACCAAAAAGAAAAAGAACAAAAATCCCGATGAAGAATCCAACAATAAAAAAGAAGCTAGTAAAAAAGATTCTGGAAAGGATGTCAATGAAAATGAAGACCGCACCAACCAAAATGGTATGGTTAAGAAACGGTCTGAGCTTAAAATTGGTTCTCTGAGTAATACAAATTCGTTTGTTGATGATAGTCCTGCTGTAAGCTCTAAGATGCCACCTCCAGGGTTCTCTTCGAAACCGAATTTACCTCAATCAGCAACAGTAAAACCGCCTCCCGGATTTAACAGTTCAAGCTCAAACTTTCCCTCGTTAAATTTTCCTAATAATGACTTAACATTCACCAATTCTAGTGGAAAAAGTTATGCCATCAGTCCTACAAAGGCTTCAACTGCTTATAGAACACCTTCAAACTTTCAAAATCGTAACATAAACTTGTCTAAAAAATTCATGGAAGTTTTAAATGATGAAAAATCGATGAAGCATTTTATGACATTGTCAGGCGATTTTCGCAGTGGAGCAGTTGATGGAAAAAAATATTACCAAGAATGTAGGAAGATTTTTGCAAACAAATTCGACGATATTTTTCCCGAATTGTTAGTATTACTGCCCGTTGTAGAAAAGCAACAGGAGTTATATGAACATTTGAGTGGAAAGCTCAAAGAAAATATTATAGTTTGCCAAAATTGCCAACAAGTGATTTTAAAAAAGGAATTAAGCGAGCACTACAACCATCACACATTGGAAAATCATTTTCCTTCTTTAGGATCTGCCAAGGAAATTGATTCGGCTTGGAAAAAATAGGGTTTTTTGTAACAAATTGTTTATAAGTCTTCCATTATTTTGAAATTTATTAAAAGTGGACGACTTACGAACATAATTTGGTATTTTCTAACCGAATAAATATAATTAATTTTTTGGCTGTGGTTTATAATAAGAATGCCAGCTGATGTTCATTTGATTTCAGATGTAAGTATTTATGGATTTTATTTTTTCACTTTTTTCGGTTTATTAGTAGACATTTTGTACTAAAATATTCTATTGTTGAACGACACTTATTTAATGAATCCTTATTGTTGCTGGGAAATAATTTATAAAACGAACGCTTAGCTTTTTTTAAATGTTAATACATTTTTGAAGTTTGATTATTATGATTTTATTTTTCAATAGTTTTTTGTTAAAAGGTTGGAGCACACTATAACCAATTACAGTGCCTAGCGTTCCACCAGAGTCAAATTCAATTACGAATTTTCTTATTCAAAATTTGATTTTTTCAAATTTTCAATTATACCTTCCTTACGAACCAAATTGTTTTAAGTTGTATAAACTTATGAACATTATTCTGAAGCAATTCAAGATTGAAATATGCAAGGAGGAAGACAAGTATCCTTACGAATGTGGGACTAAAAAAAAGCTGTTCCGAAACAGAGACTTGTAGGAGGATTTCTGGATTAACAGAGATAGTTGAGGATCGGAAATTGGAAGACGTAGAACGTTATAGACTAATAATTATACATAAATATAACATATAAACTTTTTTTTCTTTTACTACTAACCTGAGAAATAGTCATTATTCAATCTATTTTTTTAGGAAAAAATTGAATTTCTCTCCCTAGGTTAATAATGAAAATAATGAAAAAATACCTAGGTCAATAATGAAAATGACGTCATGATGCAAGGATATTGTCATGTTTCTATTGGTCCAATTTCAATTTCATACGTCAATTCAAAAAAAATAATTAAGAGCACAGATTTTGAATATTTTTTTTATTTTCTACTAGTAGTAGTAAAAAAAATTCTATATATTCCTCGGTAGAGAAAGTCATTATATACCTTACACATTATAATATATATAAAAGCGCTCGGTATATAATGACCAACTTCTCTACCTAGGTATATAATATACTATTTTATGATTGCTTTTATCTACAAGTTGCAAATATTTTAGTATGTACCTACTTCAAAAACTAGAACCGTTTTTTCACGGATATAAATCTCTTTCATCAGTCTTAGCCCTATGAAAATGGGACAAACAGTAATTGAATTTGACATAGGTTGGATCAAAGTGTTACCGTTGTTAAAATAAAGTGACATTGTCATTGAAGAATGTTATAATAAATATCAATATTGAAATACTGATAGACTATCCTTTGCTCTATACAGAAATTCAGATAACAAAGTAGTGAAGGTATAGTGCCGGTCATTTTATGTGGTTTTTAGACCAAACCAGACATTGGCACAGTGCGGTAATATGTGTGCCAACTTCAAAGTAATTAACAACAATTTAACTCATATGGACTATTATATGGGGCTGCATTGATGAAAGATATAAAGTTTGTATATAAAAAACGAATTTCTAAAGCTCATTTGTTATAAAATGTAACATAATTTTTTAATAAATTATTTTCAGTATAGAGTTGTATGTGTTTGGTTTTATTTTTGTGATTTCAGTTATTTCCAAAGCCAAAACTAGAAAGTGACTCCTGCTCTAAAATTTAAACCTATTTGATGTTGGATTATAGGCCTTATATGTGCTTTTACCTTTTTAATAGTTTTTTGAAAGTCTCTGACTTTCTTGATGACGAACATACAACCTCCAGCAGCAGCATCACCATGAAATTTAACTTTTGTGGATCTATGAGAAACTTTGTATCAGTGGCGGCTCGTGACAATCCAAACTGGTGAGGCCCATGGCCCATCGAGTTAACCCAAACAAAATTTTCAAGTGTTACGCCCAAATTTTGACCCAAAATTTCATTAAAAAAAATACCTCGGATATTTATTTTTTTGTATATTTCTAATAAAATTTTTCATTTCTTACAGTTGCAAAACAAGAGCAGTACATAATTCTTATTTTAATACAAATATTAAGTTTCAAATTAACAAAATAAATTCCAGAAAACAGTTTTTTAACCCGCAACAGACCAAAATAAAAAGTATGAGCCAATTAAATCACGCACTGGCATTTGCTACTTGTCGCAACAGCAAAAGATGCAAGGTTTCTTATTAACAAGCCCAAAATTGTGCGCCTCAATGCCTATAAAAATTCGCTACCGTCTCACCTGCAGTTGAAGCGTTGTGGTGGGGAGTGCCATGGCATCGCTTCGGCGTTCTGTGACGCACATGAGGCCAAAATTTTTGGGATTGCTATTTTATTTTAATGCTGTCCGGCAACGATTTGAGCGCCCATAAGGATAAATAGGTAGAAGCGCACGCTAAATTCAAGAAATAGTATTATACTTTAATGAAAATTCGATGTTTTGATACATTAACTGATTGAAAATAGTTGAAAAACGTTAAATATTTAATAAATATTATTTCAAAATTTTACATCATTATTGTAATTTTTTCATGTGAGGCCCGGCCTCAGTTGCTTTATACGACGAGCCGCCACTGCTTTGTATGATGTCGCAGAGCGATACCTACTTGCCTGTTAAGGCCGGTTGTCCTTTGGATGCGTTTTCGTCCGAAGTCCGAATTTCATTCGTCAGAACTCGGATGAAAAATGGCGAATCCTATTTCAGTGGAAACCAATGACGGTCGTACATTGTACCCGAAATTATTCGTGCAAATTGAAAATATATATGCGATTGATCCAAAAAAAAAAAAATGGGATTTTTCGCAGTAGTTCTGATGATTTGTGTGTGTTGACTGGGTTACTGGGGAGATAGAGATATGGATATCGAAAAATTGATTAATTTGATGTAAAAAAAAAACCTTTGTGGGATCATATCACATGAGAGACATGCAGAGAAAATTCATCCTTTAAATCATCATATACTTAAATGATGAAATTCTCCGAATTATTTTTGTTTTGCTAAAATATCATTAACCCAGCACTTTTTCCTTTTTAACAATCGCCGTCTAAGGATAATTATATTTTCCGAAAAATAATCCTCCATTACTCCACTAAATGGTAGTAATAATCTCTGACATCTCAACTTTTCGATATCTTTATTGTTATTGTCAATAGATTTCAATCTATCAATTTTACTCGGGTTTTATTCAAGTTTAAAAGTGAGAATGAATGAGGAATCCGCATTTTCACCATTATCGCAACATTTACGAAGCAAGAATATAAAACTTCGCAACGTCTAAAAGGGTTTACACCGGTCATACAGCGATCATGACCCCCAATACAACCCCACGACGATATGGCGCCCAACTCGATGGTACGAACATCCAAAATAAAAACCCTGAAGGATCTGCACCGCTACAATCCTCGATTTATGGAGAATCTTCGTAACAGAATTTATCAGAGAACATATTACAGGATGTGGCTTCCATAACTTCTGAACTTTGGAAAGAGATTAGGCTCACAAGACAATCTCCTGTCCAGCTACCAGTGTTTTCAGGATTGATTGGCAGAGTCCGGAAAAATTTCTCCAGAAATTTAGGTCCTATTTTGAAAAGTAGGTATACTTAAAGTTCCAAAGAAATATCAAACTATGGTTTATTTTTTTCCAAGATAGATTTTGGCATTGTCAACTTTGAAACATAAACAATGCCGCTAATGCCGCTTATTGGTAGCTATTGTATAACTGATGTCAACCTGCAGAAACACCTCATTTTGCGACCAATCAGGGTCAAGCGTTATTGTTTATGTTTCAAAGTTTTCAATGTCAAAATCTAAAATCTGTTTTTTTTTTTAAAGATAATTCCCCAAGTTCAAAAATTTAGTAACTATGTTGGCAACACAAGCCTTTTCTACATGAAAAATTTGATAGCATTGACAATTTTACATTGTATTGCCAACCTAATGTCAGTTTGACTTTTATCTTTAAAAAAAAAACGCACTATCTTGGGAAAAAATAAAGTGTAGTCAAGTAAAGAATCATCTGGGGCCCGATTCTCGTCTCAGGGAGAGGAGAGCTCCCCGAGAGAACAAATTTTTCGTCTTTATCATTCTTGTTCACTTTTCGATTACGTTGACAAGAACAAAAAATCCGTTCTCTCGGGGAGCTCTCCTCTCCCTGCGACCAGAATTGGGCCCCTGGAGAGAGAAGCAAAATCATGGTTCCTTGCGTATGAACTACATGACGTAAGTTTTGATTCTTTCTCTAATAGACTTTTTGAAAGATTCAATAACGATTCTCTAAAGGCGCCTCTCTATAATATAAAATTATATGGTGAACAACAAACAAATGAGGATAGTTCAATCTTTTTAACTCACAAACGTAACTTGTTTTATCTCTTGAACCAACTTTGAAAGAGAAAATAATGCTTATAAGAGTTTTAGAATTATTCAAATGTCAGTATTAGACTATCCAAGATGCTGTCAAACTTGAATTAAAATGGCCGCCAAGAGGCACACAAAACCTTTGTTTATGTGTCATCGAATTTGTCATCAAATAATGTATGAGCTTAAAATAGGGCTCATTGTGAATTATTTGCGTTCTGATACTTAAAACTGTTGTTTTTATTAATGTTAGAAATAGTGTATTTGAATAGTGTATAAAAATAGTAGTAAATAGTTTTTAAAAACGCGAAAAACATGCCTACAACGTGTTGTATGTTGTATTATTAAATGTGGAGTCATGGAGATCGAGACATTCTTAAGTTTTTTCAAATTCCAAGTAAAAAAAAAACAATACAAATCAAAGCAAAGCACAACACTGGACGGTGGAGTTGAAATAAATAAATATTTTCATATCAATGGTAGATCCTGCGTGTCCAAGTGAAATGCAGGTAAAGCAACCTTGCCCAAACAATAAGGATTGCGCAATTGGGTAGAAACTGGCAAAAATTGGGACGTACACAATAAAAAATAAGTATTGAATTATGATCATTAATGACTAACATAATGACCATAGAAAAGTGATTTATAAATTCTTAAATAGAACATTCACTGGATTCATTCCTTTCACTTTTTGTTTTAGTTCGTGACTACACCGCTGTGCGCCCATATCGCCGTTTCTTAACGTCCCCCTCGTTTTTATTCTAATCGGTAACATCACCGATGAGTTAGCTATCTTTGTTTAGTGAATAGAAAATGACAATGACCGACATAGAATCGTGTATATAAAAACCAGTCATAAAAATGCAGGTGTCCATTTAACATCATAATGCAAATGTCATCTTGTCATCTGAATTAATTTGTTGAGTGCATCGTCGTTGATTATTTTGAATTCCAAGACAGTGAAAGAAGTGATAAGTGCATCATCATAAGCAGCCAGTTTAAGAATTGTTGCCACAGTGTGTGACCAGAAGGCAAAAAATAAATCGGTCAAAAGCGAATTGCAGCCACAGACCAGAGAAATTTACATCAAAAACAACACAGAAACAGAAATTTTGGTTTTGTTGGAGATAAACAACCTAGAAATCGTGTCACTGTATGATGCTCCATACATGCTCGAGGGAATTATAAATAACTTGATCAAATATGACAGCCTTTTAACTGGAAAAATGGACATTTTCAAAAAGCAGATTGGAAAGTGTTTCAGTCAGTTCATGAGTCAGATACGCCAGATCATCTATGAATAGATTATAGATTATTTTATTCATTAAGTGATTCTCACATAAATATATGAAAATAAAATGTATAAAATTAATTTCAGTTTTGAAGCACTGCCTTATTTTGAAATAATTGAAATGTCAAACCACTAATTTAAAACCGAGATTCAAACGGCCCGCCAAATATTAGTTCAATGACTACACCGCTATGGCAGCACCGTCGTAAATGTCACTTGGCGACTACAACAGAGGAGTGAGCGTTCTATATCAGAATATAAATCACTTTTCTATTGGCGTTTCCGATTGGTAGATTCAGTGCGCACCGAGTGTATTTGCATCCTTTTAATCGACCTGTCGAAGAAAAAGACAGAAATAGAAAAAATTGCCCTAGTTCCGCACTAGATCTACCAATCGGATACGCCATATGATAATGACGTTATGGTTTGTGTTTGTGTCAATGTATGTGTGCCTCTTGTCGGCCATATTTTGCTTGTCAAAGTCACGTGTTTTGGATAGTCTAATGAATGAAAACGATCTCAAAGATATAAATGAAACAGATGAGCAAAGGATAAAAAGTAAATCAAATTTAAGACCTCCTTCAGCGTGTAGTTTCTGTGGTAAGTGCACTATAAAGACTGTCCACGACCAAGACAAAAGTTATTTAAATACAAAAAACTATAGCTGAAGGTCGGCCACCAAAAAAGCCGACCATAACCACCATTAAAAACTATATTTCAGACAAAAAATTACTACGTACCTATTCGAGTTACAATAGATAACAGGCAAATTATAGCATTACTCGTTACGGGAGGCATCTAAACATTCCGGTATAGGATTCAGCACCGACAGCACCTAGGCATAGTTCATTGGTCAGTTTGAATTCAGACCGCCAATTAATGCGGAGCGCCGAAATCGGTATTTGAATGTTGAACGGTGCCCAACCTCAGGTCAGAATGGTCCAGTTCCAGT